CACCTGTACTGACGACTGACCAACGATTCGCACGTTTGCTGACAGTTGACATTTAACTCCAGTCAGACTCTCCATTACAAAATCGTTTCACATTTCAAATCCTAATCCGCTACAATTACCGCAATACATAAATGTTGATAAGAAATAGTTAATGGTAATTCGCTACATTTTTATTTTAAAAAGAAAGAACTGAATGCTTACACCTGCAGAGGTTAAATCACATAAACAACTAAGCTTACAACATGTGAAATATCGAGTGATTAAAAAATATAAAACGATGATAAAAACAAAAAACAACAAACCGTGACATTTTTCAAATAAACGAGAAATATTTTACAACGGGAAGAATATCATTACACATCAGTAGGATTTCCCTCCAGCGACCAGCACCTATATCTTCCCACGACCTGTACGTATGACTTTCTAATGGCAAAGAGACGTTTGAGCTTTTGAGTACATTTTCCTGCATTCCACTTAAAGTACTTGTGGGAAACCAAAATGATATTTTACTGACTATTGCGCTTTGATTCAAGTAGGATTGGAATGACTCGATAAACGATGCGTTTAGAGTCAACAACAATAACAACAGTTACATGCTTAACCCAAATACAAGGGTTTACACTGCTATAGAAGAAAAATCCTATAAACTATTCACAACGTTGAAACATGCTAATTTGCCGATGATATTCTGCGCAAAATGTCAGCTTCAAAGACAGAAACTTAAATGTGAAGGAAACATGGTTGTCCAGCTTTCAAAATAGATACGGAATACAAGAAATGGCTAATTTAATATTGAGAGCAATTAACAGTCTGACATAGACCGAGAAGGAGGTGGACTAACGTAGTCCCACATAAAGGAAAAAATCCCCACAGTCTAACATAGACTGGATGACACATTCAAGGAACAGGAACTACCATGGTCTCACAGACCGCCATATGGTAACAGTCTAACATAGACTAACTACGAAAATCACTATTGTTTTTCACGATAACTGCAGAAATTCTC